TCGAGAAAATCGCCTTTAAAGTTGTCCAGATGAAGTTCTTAGCAATGCATATTACTAAACAAAAATTAAGTTTTAATATATTTACAGTAGAAATTTACAAAATATCTTCATGGAACATCTTTACTTAATATCTTAATGATTTTTGGCATGAAAGAAAAATCAATAATTTTGACCCATACAATGTATTGTTGGTTATTGCTACAAATATACCCAAGCGACTTAAGACTGGTTTTGTGCTCCAGGGTCACAAATATATATGGTGATATCATTAAAAACAATTAAACCCAAATGTTTGTTTGTCTCTTTTAGGAGCGTTTGTGATCTGTTGGACTCCTGGACTTGTAGTTCTGCTTCTGGACGGACTCAAGTGCGAACAATGCGACGTCCTGAAATTCAAACGCTGGCTGCTGCTCCTCGCCGTCCTCAACTCCGTCATGAACCCGATCATCTACTCCTACAGAGACGAGGAAATGTGGACCACCATCAAGAACCTGATGTGTTGCGTTCGCAACGGGACGAGGCGGCAGAGGTCGTCCAAGGCCAACATTCAACGCGGCTCTGGTCGGGAGACAACCAGTAGCCTGAAAGAGAATACAGCAGAGGACAGCAAGGTCTCCACACAGGAGATGCTAAAGTCTTGAAGGTGGGCCGGACTCGTTTTTGACTCTGTGAAGACCATTTTAATCACCCTGATGTGCCATTGCTCCCGAACTCTCCTGAGGTCTGAGGAAAAGTTAGAGCAGAACTCAAAAGGAGTTTAATGACAGTACAAAGCAATGCACTTATTTTTACCATTTTCAGTGATAGTCGCCCACATTAATGCCTGCGTGCAGCATGTCTGAGCATGTGCACTACCCACCACACCACATCTCCCACAGCAATGCACTTGTAAAGTTTCACTTTACCTCATTAATTCAGCTTTTGACCATTTCTCAAGATCCGAAACAGATTTCATTAGTATACTGTACTGTCGTAAAATCTGTGTTCTAAGTATACTGTACTGTTTAAAATGAGTCTTTGACTTTTTTAAATCTTAAAATGGATGTATGTAGTATGTAGATCATATGTAGACTTGATGTAGATATTAATGTAAGCATTTGAGAGATTTCATATGCATTTCAAAGTCTTCATGTGTGAGAATAATTTTTACTGTGTATAGTCGAATATTAGATTTAAATATTATAATTATAATTATGTAATACATGATTAAGTGGTCAATTATGCCCATGTAAATACATATCGGTACTGCTAATTTGTTATTGTGGTTTCATGTGTAAAAGATTCCCATTATTCAATATTACACAATTCAAATTCTATAAAATGTAGCTTATTTCATATGCACTCACTGTGAGGGAGAGAAAGAAAAACAAAAAATTCTCTAAATATGAAAAATTAATTGGTCCTGTTAACAGCAGTTACAATGTAAATGAGATTATCTATCTCTCTCTCTCTCTATAAATATATATATATATATATATATATTTCATTGTGTTCTTGAACTAAAATACAATGATATTTAAGAAAAAAATAAACATGTTTTTTTTTGTATGATTTTTATGGAACTGTTTTTACACTTCAGAATAAAAAAGATGATTTTATTTTTGCAAAATTGTGACTATATTTCACAGAGCAGTGTGCTATTGTAACTAAAACTAACTATAAAAATATTTTTTCAGTAATTCAAATAAACTAAAATAAAATATTAGATGAAAACATAATCTTAACCCTGAATGAACACTCTACAAAATGCTGGGTTGTTTCAACCCAACTTTGGGTCAAATATGGACTAACACAGCTGTTGGGTTACATTTTTAAATGAAATCTTTAACCCAAAAATTGGGTTAGTCCATATTTGACCCAAAGTTGGGTTGAAACAACCCACCTTTTTTTAGAGTGTTGGGTTGAAACAACCCAGCATTTTTTAGAGTGAAAATTAGAAATGTTGCAACTAACTGAAATAAGTTTAAGTACTAAAACTGAAATAAAAATGAAGTTAAGCTAAATAGAAATATCTAATATAAACAATGCTGCTAAATTAAACAAAATGACTAAAACTTAAACTAAGCTCAAAATGAAAACTGAAAATAACAAAAATAACATAAATTTCAACACTGGTTGAGGCTTCAGATTTCAAAATGTAACTACTTCCTTTTTTTCCTGAGGTGAAAAAAAACGACCTTCCGTAATATAGTTTATACAATTTGTAATTTGATAAAAAATTATAAAGTAAATTCCTTATTCCTCCGGTTAACATTATTGGGTCCTTATTTAAGTTTTCATCCTAACAACCCCTCCTAATGTTTAAGCCCGTAGGCTGAAATCCAAACTGCTAGGTCAGGGGTACAGAATAAACCGGTTTCCTTTCTTAAGGTTTTGAAATGGCGAGATATTCCGTTTTACGCAATTCTGATGCAACAAGCTCCCGTAGATCGTCTCACCTGAGCTCCAGCCATGCTCCTGGAGTTGCGACACGGCTTAATTACAGCATGACAAAACTACAACCGTGCTTCAGATTGTATATCCTGGGAAACCAGCTTTTCCTGTTGATACTTGGGCAAAAATGTTCTCAATGGCCACCTGCAGGTCCTCATGTCGGGCGTCGAGACTGTCACGTATTCCAGCATAAACAGGATGATTTATTCTTCCGGTGTGGGCACAGATTTCATAAAGATAAACCACATTGGAATCACGTCACTTTGCTGCCGTAAACAGGAAATGTACACAAGGTCTATCTTGAGACTTTTGTTTTACACCGTGTCCTAGACGCGATGCGATAAGTTTTACAGCGATGAGTAATTTGTCTGTCTACATGAGATGCGACAAAATCAATCAAACATCACAGCCAATCAGAAGGAGCGTGTGGGCGAAGTCTTTCTCTGAGAGCGCGCTTATTCACTCGCAACGAAATGGATTAATCAAATTCATAAATATGAAACCATTTTAACATTATTAAAAAGACACGTGGAGTGGCTGATACAATCTTTGTCACTGAATACACATTTTTTTTGTTCGCATTGCGTTCACAGTTTGAACGTTTATGTTTCCTTTCATTTATTTTCAAGATCTGAGGTAAAGTATTCATTGTCGTTTTCAGTTTGGCTATAAAGTCTGCGCAAAATGATATTCAGACGTACATAGAGACATTTGACATTAAAGCTGCAGTCCGTAACTTTTTTTTTGGTTAAAAATGATCCGAAATCAATATTTGAGCAAGTACATAACCAGCC